CCCCCTGTCTGCAGGTGACCTGAGCGTCTCGGCTGAGCACCTGAGTGAAAAGCGATCACCCAGCGACTTCGCCCTGTGGAAGGCCTCCAAGCCCGGAGAACCGTCTTGGCCGTGCCCCTGGGGAAAGGTGAGTGGGGTGTGGTGGGGCGGCCCACGGTGCTGGCACGGCCTTGAGCCTTCGCCCCAGGAAGGAGGCCGTCCTGCACACGGAGACCAGCATCCCACAACATGTGCATAGGAATGACCCCCTGTGTCCGGACGCCTGGCTTCTGGCTCTTTTTCTCAGAGATGCTGGGTCTCAGGCGCTTCCCTCGCCGGGTCCCTGTTTCCCGTCTGCCGTGGGGTTTTAGTCAGATTCGCTCCCTCTGAGACCTCCAGGTCCCGATGCTCTTTAGTTCTGACTTGATGTTATGGCTCCAGGAGGGGTGGGAGTGCTGGTGTCTGCTTCCTGTGGAGGGTGGGTGGCTGTGGAGGTCACGGCAGTCAGAGCCCTCACGGTTTGGCAAAGCCTGGGCTCTCTGGTGCCTGCTTGGATTCTCATAACCAGGGACTTCTTAATGGTTTCACGAACGGGCTGCGTGTAGCCCCTGTTGTATAAAGCTTGAGGTTCCAGGGCCCACAGCCTCGGACTCAGTGAGAGGTTTCAGCCGGCCGGTAACCAGCTTGTCCGATCTCCAGGGCCGCCCAGGCTGGCACATTGAATGCTCTGCCATGGCGGGCACCCTGCTGGGGGCCTCGATGGATATCCATGGCGGCGGCTTCGACCTCCGATTCCCGCACCACGACAATGAGCTGGCGCAGTCCGAGGTGGGGAGCCCGTGGCGCTGGCGGGGGCGAGGGGTTGATTACTGTAATCTCGGGAAGCAGAACCTGCCTTTCTGGCGGTGGTGAGTGAGTCTCAGCCCTCCCTCGGCTGGATTTCCCACTGCCGCAGCCTGGCCTCTGCGTACAGGAGGCGGGGTGATGGGCTCTGGGGGGCCAGGGAGTGAGCCCCCGCATGGCATGCTTGGTGCGGTGAGCAAGAGCGTGATGCACGAGCACGCACGCACACACACGCATGCACGTGCGCACACACCACACAGACACACACACCCGTATAGGCCCTTGACCCTCCCCCTCTCCCGCGCAGGCCTACTTTGAAAACGACTGCTGGGTCAGGTACTTCCTGCACACGGGCCACTTAACCATCGCGGGTTGCAAGATGTCCAAGTCCCTGAAGAACTTCATCACCATCCAGGACGCCTTGAAGAAGCACTCCGGTAGGCTGCGGCTCTGACCCAGGGCGCCATGCCTCCCCACTGTGTGCGCACGGTCACAGCAGGCGTCTGGGGTGGTAAGGGATGTCTGTGGTGTCTCTCCCAGCGCGACAGCTGCGGCTGACCTTCCTCATGCACTCCTGGAAGGACACGCTCGACTACTCCAGCAACACCATGGAGTCGGCCCTGCAGTACGAGAAGTTCATGAACGTGAGTCTTGCCCGCGCTGGGGGCGGCTGCGGGCAGCAGGTGCCCTGCCCCTGTCAGCTGGGAGGGGATCGCTGAGAACAGGGCACAGGTGTAAGCAGCTCGATTTGGGGAGGAAGGCCCGCAAGGGCACTTTTCTGAGACGTTTGGTAACCGTTGAGTTTAAAGAGTCCTCGTTCTCGTTGTGCACGGCAGACTTCCTGCTGGCTCATGCTCTCTGCTGAGCGCATATCGCTAAGGCTGGGATAGGAGCAGGCTTCTGTCTCAAAGGAAAACCTTTGCCTGTCTGTCTCAGCGCTTGGGTGACGTGGACACACTGGGTTTTCAGATTGACCTGCAGTAAAGCCAGCCCAGCAGCGCAGCCCTCAAGCAGATGTTTTTGGATGGGGAGGTGCCTGCAGGCCGTTAAATGGAGTTTTCTACCTTCAGGAGTTTTTCTTAAACGTGAAGGGCCTCCTCCGCGCTCCCGTGGACGTGACGGGGCAGTTTGAAAAGTGGGAGGAGGAAGAAGCCGAGCTGAATAAAAAGTAAGGTGGGGCTTGTTCTTGGGGTTTGTGAGTGCGCTGCGCCCAGGATGTGGGGTGCTGTCTTCGTGGGGGTGGGGGGGCGGTGGCATGGGCACGTACTTCTTAGAACTGCACGTGGACTAGTGGGCACTGATGGAGAGATCTGGAAATGGGTAGCGGTGATGTTTGCACAACAGGATGAACATAACTGATGTCGCTACGTTTACACGCAGAAGATGCTGACGTGGCAAACGTTTGGTTACGTGTATACTGACCACGAACTAAGACCCCTGCCACGGGGTGTGTCACGTGTGCCACACGGTCCAGCTGTTGGACTGACTGTACCCCCCTGGTTAGCGCTGTGCGCTGTCAGGTCTGACGGCTCTTGCCCCCTCCTCCTCCGCCAGCTTCTATGACAGGAAAGCAGCTGTGCACGAGGCGCTCTGTGACAACGTGGACACCCGTGCTGTCCTGGAGGAGATGCGGGCCCTGGTCAGCCAGTGCAACCTCTACATGGCGGCCAGGAAGGCAGCCCGCAGGCGGCCCAACCGCGCCCTGCTGGAGAGCGTCGCCCGCTACCTCACACACCTGCTCAAGGTGGGGCCTGGGGCGCCCTGGCCCCAGACGTACCCAGTCAGGGTGGGCCTAGGGCGGACCTGACCGACCGCTGCCGGAAGGGGAGCCTGTGGGTGCCCCATCTGCTGCCCAGTGCCACGTGGCCTTGGGAAGGACGGGCGCTGTGGCTCTCCTCGTTTCCTGCTGGACACTGAGTTACTTGGTTTCCTCACCTCGGTTTTCTTCTGCTCCCATCTTGGGCTTTGAAGGGGGCACGAGAGGGAGGCCTTAAGTCTGTGCCTGGCACCGGGCACTCTGAAGTCCGGTGTAGCCAGCTCCTGAGGCCGAGCGGGGACTTGGGGTGACCTGCCTGTCTGCAGGTGGGGCTCCTAGGGCCGAGCGGGGGCTTGGGGCAACCTGCCTGTCAGCGGATGGAGCTCATGGGGCCGAGTGGGGGCTTGGGGTGACCTGCCTGTCAGCGGATAGGGCTCACGGGGCCGAGTGGGGGTTTGGGGTGACCTGCCTGTCTGCAGGTGGGGCTCATGGGGCCGAGTGGGCAGCTCTGCACCTGGGCTCATCCCGGGGACGGGGGAGGGGTGAGCAGCCATCCCCTGGCCTGGCTCCCGGCCTCTCGGAGCTCCTCGTCCACCTGTCCCACCTGGAGTCTCTGCCGCCCCACCCTCACTCAGGGCGGTTCGCGGGCTCGGTCACGGCGTGTCACCTCAGCACCTCGCGGTCCTGTGTCTGAGTCCTGCTCTTTCTCTTCTTAGATCTTTGGGGCCATCGAAGAGGACAGCACTCTGGGCTTCCCTGTCGGAGGACATGGGGCTGGCCTAGATGTGAGTACAACTGGGACCCCGGGAGACCCCCTCCTGGGCCTGGGGTCACCGTGCCACCCTCTGACCCTGCAGCGTGCCCACCCTGAGGTCACTGACCCACGGGAAGCGGTGCCTCCGTGAGGGCCCTCGCACTTTCTGCACATGCTCCCCCATCCGCATCCCCGGGCTTCTCCCCACCCTCTGGAGCCTCACGGAGCCTTGCCCCACCGTGTCCGCCCTGTGAATATTTGGGGACCGGTGTTAGCCCCCACCTGCCTCAACGCTCCAGACTAGCCTCAGCTCCAGCTCCCAGCATGTTATGTGGGGGCGTCTCCCTGGTCGGATTGGCGGGGCCAGGCCTTCATCGTGCCAACACCCTTCCCCGTCAGCTCTCAGGCAGGCAGCTTCTGTGCCATCCTGTGTATACACGCTGATCCCCCCGAGGCCAGCCCGGCTGGGCCCTGTCTCCACCCGTGACTCGGTTCCAGACTCTCACCTCACTGCATAGACTGACCTGTGGTCAGCGAGTGGCCTCACTGACCATCAGTGAGCAGCCTGACTGACAGGCACATTGGCACACAGTGCAGAGCTCACGCTGGCAGGGGCACCCCCTGTCCGCCTCCGCCCAGATCCTGCCCGGCACTGCCCGGCGTCCACACACGCAGCTGAGCAGAGCCCGCTGCTCTGGCACTGCTGCCTGGCGTCAGTTGGGAGGAGCTGGCCCTGAGCCAGGCAGGAGGCCATTCACCAGGGACAGGCTGTCTGTCCGTCTCCATGTACGACAGGGGCACTCGGATCTGTTATGACACACCTCGTGCTCCTGCCCTTGTTTGAGGCTCCCTCCTCGTGTGGTTAGAAAACAAACGTAAATATGTACACGTAACCACGCACAACAGGAACCGTGCAGAGTGAGAAGGCAGAGCCACCTGAGAATCCTATTTCCCGGACGAGGGTGCGCTCAGCGGTGGCGTCCCAGCAGCACTACCCCCAGGGCCCTGCCGTGGCGTGGGTGCTGAGTGTTGGTGGTTCCCTCAGAAAACCACCCGGTCTTCCCACAGGTCGAGGCCACGGTCATGCCGTACCTGCAGGCTTTGTCGGAATTCCGAGAAGGAGTGCGGAGAATCGCCAGAGAGAAAAAAGGTGAGGGCTGTCCCTCGGGGTGGGGCGCTGCCTCCCCACCCACGGGCTCCTTTGACGCGGGATCTCCCCCAGGCACTCTTGACATTCGGGGTGGGACATTCTTATTTGGGGGCCGTCCTGTGCAAGTAGGGTGTTAGCCGCACCCCTGGCCTCCACCCACCAGATCTAGCCCACCCACCTCCCAGGCACGACCTCTGAAAATGTCTCCAGACACGAGCGATGTCCCTGTGGGGCGGTTGAGGACCACCGATGGGACTTCCCTGGGTTGGGGGGCCGGGGGCCAGGGGTGGAGGACGCCTGTGCGAGGCCAGGGCTTCTCTGCCCTTCATCGTCTGCAGTAGGAGGTCGGGACGAGGGACCGGCTGCCTCGCTGTCTCGTGCCCATCCTGCGTGTGCAGTGGGCACATGTCTGCTCCCTGGTGACGCCCTGACCAGGTGTGGGGGCACCGCGCCATCCCTGCTTTCCAGTGATGTTGTGCAGGGGAGTGTTGCGGGGGCAGGGCTTCCGCAGCCGCCTGCTCCCAGGATGGCTCTCCTGCTTGGGCCTGGGCTTCTGTGGCAGCGGGATGGGTGCCTTCAACGTGGGATGTCACCCAGGAACACCTCGCCTTCCGCCCTCAGCCATCCTTCACTCCTTGGCGTTCCTGAGCTGAGTTCACATACTTGTGTGTGTTTTACAACTGAAAATGCTCAGTCTGAATTTCGTCCTCGAGGCTGGTTTAAGCCTGTTAAACACAGAGCCACGCAGCGTTGGGCAGGCAGCGCGTGCCTTCCCTGACCGGTTCTGAGTGGGTGGACGACAGCAGCGGCCCGGAATGACGAGGCCTGAGGGGGTGCCGGGCCCGCTTATTGTGCAAAGGGAGGGAGCCCAGGACGCTGGAGGGCCCGCCCAGCCCGCAGCAGACCCTGGCAGCCTGACTCCAGGGGCTACCTCGCTAGCTGCTAGGATGTGCCCTCTCTCCAGGGGCCTCTGTGCTGGTGGGAGGTCGCACCGGGAGTCTCCATGATCCCCTGCCAGAGGCCAGGAGCAGGTCAGAGGGGCAGCCAGTCCGGCAGGGCGGCGTCCTCGCTGTGGGGCAAGTGGGGATGCACAGGACAGACTTGCAGCCGCGTGGCACCGGGCAGCAGCCAGGGAGCCCCTCTGGGCAAGGTTGCGCCTGAGCTTCAGCTTGTAGAGGGATCAGTAGGCCCTGAGGGAAGTTGAAGGCTTGGGGAGCAGGTTCTGGGCTGTGCCTGGGAAGGGGCAGCAGAGCCGGAGGCCTGAGCACATGAGAGCCTGAGATGCAGCTCCACAGGCTGGAGGCTGGAGTACAGGCGCCAGCTGAGATCCCCGGGGCCGGCGGTGAGGGGCTGCCCTGTGCTGGGGGTCGGGAGCCTGACCTCACAGTTCACCCGGAGCCTCGGGTTGTAAGCCAGGCAGTGCCGGGCTCTTAGATCCGACTAAGCAGACACAGTCCTGTTGGTGGACCCACCGCCCTTCCCCCCGTCTCTGTCTGTCTGTCCGTCTGTCATACTGTGATGGCTTGTGTGTGGCTGTGATGCTGGAAGCTATGCCACCAGTATCTCAAAACACCAGCAAGGTCGCCCATGGTGGGCAGGTTTCAGAGGAGTTCACAGACTAGGAAGAAAGGCCTGGCGATATGCTTCTGAAAATCAGCCAGTGAAAACCCTATGGATCACAACAGAACACTGTCCAACACAGCGCCGGACAACGAACTCCCAGGCTGGAAGGCCCTCGGCACACACGGCACTGCAGCCGTGGACTCGAGCGTGCAGGCAGTCGTGAGGATGGCGCAGGACCGGGCAGTGTCTCGTCATGTGCCCGGGGGCGCTGTGAGTCCAGGTCGACTCCATGGCAGCTGCAACAACAGCGATGGGTGGCGGGCTCCTCCCCCTGACCACCGACACCTTTCCGCTCTGAAGCCCGACACCTGACCCGAGACCGCCTGGCTGACGAGGGCCTGTTTGACGGCCGTGGGGAGCCGCCCAGGGGCTCTTGGTGCTCGCCTGGCGCCTCCGCTCTCCCAGGGGCCCAGGCGTGTTCTTCCTTCGGCATTTCCCAGGAGTGACCGTTACGTCCTTGAATTGTGGCTTTCCTTCTGATGACCTTTATAAGACCTCACCTGGCGGGTGGAGAAGAAAACACGCCTGATGGACCCAGAAGCTTTCAGAATAAAACCTGGAGAGAGAGTTGAGCTATGCGGACAAGACCAGGTCTTGATGTGGGGGTGACGAGGCAGCACCTCAGCTCTGTGGGGCCAACCCAGGGGGCCATGTGGACCAGAGGGGCACCGGGTCAGGCATGCCCCTCCCCCAGGGGGTTTAGCGGCAGGAGCTGTGCTGGCCACGAGCCTGCTGCCTACCAGCAGGGAGGACGAGGCCTGACGGCAGTAGCGGAACTGGCTGGCTTTCCTCCCAAAATGGCCTGAGAGCCGTGCCCAGCACGCCACCCACAGGTGGAGCTAGAGGGCAGCTCACCTCACCTGTACCCAGGCCAGCCCCTCCTCAGAGCCTATCTGTGAGGCATCAGTGGAGCCAACAGGCCAGACCGGTCCTGCGGATCCTCCCGGAGCCCGGCCCGGTTTTGGGGCTGCAGGGCGAGGACCAGCTAGGGCACTGTGGCCGCCGCCGAGCTACCGCTAGGGCTCAGTGTCGCTGGAGTGCGCGTCTCCATCCCGGTACCCCCATACCCTTCATCCTGCAGCTCCACCGCCGGGCTGGGCAGGCCCTCAGGGAGAGACCCTGGGAACTGGGGGAACGCCCGGGACTGCGCCTGACAACCATACCCCTTACTCCTCGAGTTCTGGCTCTCGGGGCAGAGTCCTCAGAGCTACTGCATCCCCACCCCCTGCTCTGAGCCCCAGGAACCCTCGGCCCCGAGCGTGTGCTTGTGACTGGCCCCGGGTGGCTCTCAGCAGCCGTCCTGCCCCGCCGCTCGGGGAGGGGGAGTGCCCGCTCACAGCAGTGGTCACCGACCGCGGCTGGGCCCGAGACTGACAGCCCGTCCGCGTCTTTCAGACCCGCCATCCAGGGCAGTGGAAGCGGTGGCTGCTCGGTGCCTGGACCCTTCTCGGGAGTGACCCAGGTGCTCGGCAGTTTGTGAGACTCATTCTGAGCGGTGTGTCTGACCTCTTCTAACTTCGCGAGGGGGAGAGAGTGTCACTATCGGTCCAAAGCTGATTCCTGTGAGGTGGAGGTCAGACGTACCTCCTCTCTCCCACCTTTTTGGCAATTCTGCCACCAGCCGTCCCTCCCACAGCACTCTGCTTCTCTGCTGCGTTCGATGATTCACTGCAGTGGCCGCACAGAACTCACAGACCCTGCTTACAGTTAATGAGTTTATCAGGGAAGTAACCGGTTACAGTTCAGGAGACAGGACTTGGGTCAGGAGTCTCTCAGCCGTGCCCATAGGGAGGCTTCTCTCTGGCCCTCAGCCCTTGGCCTGGCCCCTGCCCTGCGTGGGCAAGTGTTGCAAAGCTCTTCAGCTCTGCCAGTAAGTGCCTGGAGGCACCCCGCTCTGCCAGGGAGCCTCCTGCCTAAAGAGGCTCAGCTCTCGCTCCGTGGGCCGGCACACCCGCTGTAACGGCCTTGCTCTGTGGGCCGGGAAGCCCACTGTGTCACCTCGTGCCCCTCTCTTCTCCTTGGCGGTGGTGAGGTCCTCACTTTCTGCCTCTGGGATGGCTCGTTTTAAGTGTAGCAGGATGGCAAAGCTGACCAACCCCCTTGTTAGGGCTCCATAGAGCTTATTTGCATGGCCCCACCCCCATAAGGATGCCATGCACCTTATTTGCGTTAGCAGCAAGCTGTCCAGTCCCCTTGGTGGGTCCCAAGCACCTTATTTGCATAGTCCCACCTAGTCACTGTGTGGGAGTCACAAAGACAATAGCTAGAAGGGTTGTATTAAGTACTCACTGAACTGCACCAGGGCAAGCCGGGCCCTGGCCTGCTCGCCACCCCTGGCTCTGGGCAGCTCTGAATCACCTGCGCCCCTCCTCAGACCCCCAGGACCGTTCTCAAGGTGTGTGCGCGTTTGCCTCCTCCTGGGAGTCAGGGCCCCAGCCTGGAGGTTCAGGACCGCCTGCAGCGTGGCTGCTGATTGGGCGTCTGCTGTGGACTCGGGCCGTGGCCACCACAGCATCAGTACAGTGGGAGGACAGGGGTCAGCCGCCAAGGGGCCCCCTTCTGGCCAGTTGCGAGCTGACCCTGGGCTCCTCGGAGCCCAGCAGCCCTGTCCTGGAGGCATATGCGGGTGGCTGTGGCCCTCCCATGTCCTGACGGCCTTCTCCCTTTGTCCCCACAGTTCCTGAGGTCCTGCAGCTCAGTGACACCCTGCGGGACGACGTCCTGCCCGAGCTCGGGGTCCGGCTGGAAGACCATGAAGGTGCCGTGAGTGTCCAGGGGTATCTTGGGGTGCATGGGGGGTCATTCCGAGGGCACGTGCACTTTGTATTGATCAAGGTTACCCACATGGTGCCCCCAAGTGGGCCGCTGTCCGCCCAGAACCGCCCCCCACTCACTCCGGCCTGCCAGGCAGGGTATCGTCTAGGTTCTTAAATGCTCAGATGACACGTCTTTTCTGTGACTTCAGGGTCTTAGGTCCTGCTTAGCAAGGCCTTCCCGTCACAGTCACAGCACACTTTGCTGTGGCCTGCTTCTCTTGTGCTAGCTTCTCTTTTAACTGTTTGCTCCTCCTGGAGTTAATTTTGTCTATGCAAGCAGTAAGGAAGGGACCCCAGCCTGCTTTTCTTAGGTGTCTATCCAGTTGTCCTGGTTGGGGGGGGGGGTCCCCTGAGCCCTGGGCCCCGTTGGGTACAGCTCGTGGACATGAGGGTGTGGGTGGGCCCTGCTCAGGGTGATGTGGGCAGGGCCGGCCGAGCGGGGGTGGGCTCCTGGGCCTCAGCCTTGTCCAACCGCCTCCATGTTGTGCAGGCCTCCCCACTGTGGTCAAGTTGGTGGACAGAGCGACGTTGTTAACCGAGAGAGAAGAGAAGAGGAGGGTGAGTCCAATTAGCGAGTTCAGTTGGTATTTACTGAAGATGTGAGCGCGTTTGGGGTTTATATACTTTACGTTTTAAAGATCAGTGTTTACACTCTGGTTCGAATCCCGGTATTTATAAATGTCAGAAAGCAAAGTTAAAGCAGAGGAATTAACCAGATAGGCACTGTCTTGGTGATTTGGTAACGATAAAAGAGGGACCTCTTTTTTAAAAATTATCCCCTCGGTTTTGGTAGAGACCAGTGGCCTTTAGTGATCCGTGAGGCACACCTGGGCACCCCTCCCTCTGAGCTGAGGCCGTGGCCTCCTGGGTCTCCCCGTCTGTCCTGAGCCTCCTCTCCCAGTACAGCCCACCCCTGAGTCCTCACTTCCCCCTTCTTGGTTCCATTCTTTGTTGGCCCCTCCACTTTCATCAAATACTCTGTGTGCCAGGAACCAGTTCCTGGGTGGTGCAAACAGTTAACTGCTCGGCTGCTAACCGAGGGTTGGTGGTTCGAGTCCACCCAGAGGCGCCTTGGGAGAAAGACCTGGTGATATACTTCCGACAAATCAGCCGTCGAAAACCCTGTGGAGCACAGGTCTGCTCTGACACACGTGGGGTTGTTGTGAGTCAGAGTTGGCTTGACGTCAGCTAGGTGGGTTTTGAAACCAGGGCTCAGGGCGCAGTGGTGACGTGGGGACAGTCCCCACTCCCGAGACCTCAGCATCCAGTGGAGAGGAAAACAGGCAACAACGCTCAGCCAGCTTCACGGCGAGGCGCCCCGCGGGAACGTGGCAGCTGAGCAGAGTCCCCCCACGACCCCCAACCCATGGCTTCACCCACTTTGGCCCCAAAACCTGCCATACCCCAGACCCCGGTCGGCAGCTGCCGCGTAACGGCTCCATTTGGCGGTGAGCCCCCAGAACCTTCGGAGCCGGCAGTGGGGATTCTCAACCCTCTAACCCGGTTCCGCTTTGTATCCATACCCAGCCCCTCAGTCACACGCTCGAGGCGCCTCAGGTCCCCTCCCTTGCTGCCCGCCTGCCTGCCGGCTGCCAGCCTCCTGCTTCCTCTCCTGCCTCCTGGAATCCTTTCTCAGCTACTGAGTGATCCCCCAAGTCCCTTCCCCCAGACTCAAGCCCACAGTCCTTCCTGGCCCACGAGGCCAGTGTGACCCAGCACTGCTGACCTCGGCCCCACCTTGCCCGCCCCTCCTCTGCGAGGCCTTGCTGCTTCCCCGGTCGCTGTGACTGCTCAGGGATGGTCCCCTGTCCCTCTTGACATAGCCACCCCCAGGCTGGCTCATTGCCCCGGTCAGCGTCTCCTCATCCAGGTTCCTTCATCTGCCTGTTCACCTGGCCCACCTGGCCTCCTCAGCACGACGCATGCGGAGCTGCTCTCAGTGGCTGTGTCTGCTTGGTGGCTCCTCCCGGGACACCAGGCTTGCCTTCTGGCGGCCCCGCAGTCCCTCGGCACAGGGTTGTTCAGGCCTGCCCGGGGGGTTGGCTGGGCGGCCCTTCTCACCGGCCTGTGCTGCTCTCCTAGGGCGAAGAGGAGAGGAGGAGGAAGAAGGAGGAGGCCGCCCGGAAAAAGCGGGAACACGAGGTAACGCCCAGGGGCTTGTTTCGGGTGGGGACGCTCCTGGGCAGAAGCGCAGGCTTGGACCCCACGCCCTGTGCCCCCCTGGGCTCTGCCGGGCACCCTCGGGGCCGTGGGGTCCTCATGAGGGGAGCCCTGCTGGCTGTTCACCCACCTGCGGGCGCCCCAGGCCCTCCCCACACCTCCTCTCACAGCACCCCGAAGGGAGCCCAGCGTGAAGAAGGGCCCCGGCTAGGGGGACTGGGCCCTTTGATGGTGCACAGGATCAGGACGGCTTCTGTGGGGGCCCAGTGCTCTGATGACCGTCCTTTAGCAGCCTCCCCCTTGTCCCTTAGAAGGAGCATCTGCTTTAGATTAAATCACCCTTCTCTGCTTCCTCTTGCCCGGTCGTGCCCTCTCCCCATCTCAGCCCCCGCGTGAGGGCTGGTGGTGGGCGGGCACGGTGGTCCCTCTCCCCGTCTCAGCCCCCG